TGAACTTTGTTAAATGCATTATTAGATGATGAGATGATATGATATCATCATGATATTTCACATCCCTACATCGCGTGCAAAGTATCAGATGGCTTAACACCCAGCAGTGAGTGAAGATGTCACATGATGTATCACATTATAGTAGTGAGGAGAAATGTCACATGACATAACACAGAATGGTCGTAATTGAAAATGTCACATGGCATATACAAGTCTTGCAGTGAATAGAAATGTAATAGACATACCACAGGTTTGGTCGTAAGTGACAATGTCATATGGCATATAACAGTCTGTCAGTGGTTAAAATGGTATATGGCATATAACAGTTTGTCAGTGAGAGAAAATGTCATATGGCATATCACAATCTGGTAGTGATTGAAAATGATACATGTCATATGTCTGTCAGTGATTGAAAATGTCACATGGCATTTAACAGTCTGTCAGTGGTTAAAAATGTTGTATGGCAAATAACAGTTTGCCATTGAGAGAAAATGTCATATGGCATACCACAATCTGTAAGTGAGAGAAAATTACACATGACATATAGCAGTCTGTCAGTGATTGAAAATGCCATATGACATATAACAGTCTGGTAGTGATTGAAAATGTTACATGGCATACCACAATCTGTAAGTGAGAGAAAATGACACATGACATACAACAGTCTGTCAGTGATTGAAAATGTCATATGACATATAACAGTCTGTCAGTGATTGACAATGTCACATGGCTTATCATAATCTGGCTGTAATTGAAAATGTCACATGACATATAACAGTCTGTCAGTGATTGAAAATGGCACATGGTATACCACAATCTGTCAGTGAGAGATAATGTCACATGACATATAACAATCTGTCAGTTAGAGAAAACAGTCACTTGGCATAAAACAGTATGCCGTGAGTGAAAAGGTCGCATGGCATAGAATAGTCTAGCAGGGAGTGAAACTGTTAAAGGACACCTTGCTGCATGGTCTTGAAAAATGTGACATTTTAGGTTTTTTTTTTTAATTTGATGTGATTTATTATGTAACACTCAGTGGCGTAGCGAGGTCGGGTGTCACCCTGTGCGGCACTTAATGGTGTCACCCCCCCCCCCCCCACAGAGGCGTAGCGACTCTTCCCGGGGACAAACTTTCAATTTTCTATTTGCACCCCTCTCCTCGAACTTTCAATTTGCACCCCACCCCCCCGCTCAAATTTTTCTCTACATATTTTACTATTTTTTTTTTGCCTTGGTGTCCCCCCCCCTAAATGGTGTCACCCGGTGCGATCCACCCCCCCCCCCCCTCGCTACGTCTCTGGTAACACTCATTACTCTGTCGCTATCCTTCACTCAATATTATCATTATCCACACAACATATTGACTACATATAATAATATGTCTTCATAGTCTAATAGGCCATTGGATGTATGCGCATAGAAGGTCTGACTATTTTTTTTTATTCGAGTGAGATTTTATATGTCAATACAAACAGCAACATGTGGCCTGGGTATTGAGAAACACATAGTTTAGCTGACAGCGATTGCAGGCGGTAACTACTACTGCAAACTGATAGTGAGTACGGGTAGAGTTTCTTTCAGGTATTTCTTCGGGGGAGGGGTGAAGTACCTATGAAGCAAGTCCACCGCCAAAAAAGGAAATTTTTAAATTTTTTAAAAAGAAAATGTATGATTTAACAAACGTAAAACACACTCCTTAACCCCCACCCCCTCTCCATACCCCTTTCCGCACTTAAAATGAAAGTTAAGCCCGCCGTTGCAAAAGATTCAATTACTTCGCTTACAAAATTTCTGGAAGAAACACTTAGTAGGGATGGATGGGATCGATAATTTACAACAATAGACTTCATGTTGATCACTATTTTTCATATTTTTAAATTAAAAACAAAGATTATGCAACGCGGTGATGCCAAAAAGGTCAACAAAGCTATACAAACTGTAGACCTAAATAGCCGTGCCTCTGACGTGATCTAAATGATTGTTATACAAGATCTCATAAAGCTCGTACATTATTACGTAATATCTGTATGTGTTTGTGCATGTGCGTTTGGTGGGGTGGGGGGGGGGGGGGCGTGGGCGTGATTTGAAAGCCACCTAATCGGTGCTGCACTGACATCTGCATCAATAATGTACTGATAAGTCGGGATGCGGGTTAAAATGACAATCATATATTTTTTCATGCGTTTCAATGCGTATTGTTTGGTTTTCATTGTTACACAATGTAACACGTGTAGGTTATTATATTCACAAAGTATTTTAGTATTGCAAAACAACATATACAGTGTGGCGTTGGATTTCTGTTAGTCGAGATTTTATAATTTGTATTTAGTTCATAATGTCGGTGTGTTTTATTTTTAATTGTGGGTTGTGGCAAATATTGTAACGTAATTTTAACCCACTTGTCATACATCCATGTCGTTTAAACGTTGCAACAGAAGCGTAGCGACCCTTCACGGCGCCCGGGGACAAACTTTCAATTTGGCGCCCCCTCGGGTGCAAATTTACAATTTGCACCCCCCCCTCAAACTTTCGATTTGCACACCCCCCCCCTCAAACTTTCGATTTGCACCCTCCCTCAAACTAATTATAATGCAAAAATGCAGCTAAAATGACATTTTAATTTGTTTTTACAACCCATTTTGGCACCCCTAAGGTCGGCGCCCGGGGACATATGTACCCCCCTGCCCCCCATCGCTACGCCTCTGCGTTGCAAGGATATTAAATTATTGATCCTGTTTGACAATTGGTCATTGAAATTGAATTTTAAAACGTCTACATTTCATAAAAAAAGACCTTCTGTTTATAACGGTGAACTGTTTATCACAGACGGTTGGTTTCTAATGGCGTTTAAAGACTGCTAGCAACTGATCAGGTTTTAAAACAACTATTTGCAGTCGTAGCCTATGTGGTGTGAACTTGACTTAGATTTGCTACAAATTTGAAAATAAGTCACTTATGAAAAATGAAAGTTATAACAATAAACGTTTATACTGAGGCGTAGCGACCCTTCCCGGCGCCAGGGGACAAACTTTTGATTTGCACCCCCCCCCTCAAACTTTCAATTTGCACCCCCTTCAACCTTTCAATTTATTTTTCAAACCCATTTTGGAAATATGTCCCCCCCCCCCTCGCTACGCTACTGCGTTTATAAATCATTGAAACTAAGAAAACAGAACAAACTTATGATTGTTGACATGAAGAGGTAAATTTGACTATTGATAAGAATCATACTTCATACTTCCTTCCCTAACAGCTGTCAGAATTAGTTGTTACAATTATTTTAAAACAATTCAAATTTTGAGCGAATAAAAGTTCTTTAATTAATTCTATAGTCTCGTTCATTGAAGCCGACATTTTTTCAGCTAGAGGATGTTCTAGTACATCGCATTAAATTTCTTTGTTACCACCCTTAGACTGCTTGATTAAAAAAAAAAGACATATTATTATGTAACATGGAAATTTTTAAAAAGTGGCTAACCTTGGCTGGAACAAAAAGTAAAATTCTCAATGTCCAAAATATTTCTCTCAATGTAAAAATGAAACTTTCTAAATGTGTCCTGATGCGGTATATAATACTAAAGTCCTGTTGAGCTAATGAAGACATGTTTTTACTGGTAAGCGCAAGTCACCTTGTATTTGTGTGGCGCATTCATTTAATTGTTGCTTCCATTGAATAATATCTTTGCAAAGACATTAAAAAGTAAATTTGTGAGTGTCGCTTGGTGTTTGTGTGTATTTATGCGAGTGGGGTACTAATTCTTTCTCTCTTGTATTTTATAACTGTTTAATCCAATAAAAAAAGTAATTGCAGATATTTTTAAAAAAAGGTGCGGGGAGAGGTGGTTTGTGCCTCGCAATAATTTCTAACCGAAATAAAATTACGCAAAGGTAAAGTGAATGATGTCACATAAAAACGAATAGCAACTTTAGCAATCAAGTCAAATGAAAAGAAACATATTAAAAAATAGCAAACAATATACTTATTTTTAAATTATATTATTGGTCTTGCATTTCAGATCTTTATGCTTTTCAATTAGCTACTGCTTTTTGTGTTCTTTACAGAAATTAGATCGTTGTATTTCTCCCGTTCAGCAGTAGTTCCCTCCAACATAACTGATGTGTCAACATGTTTTGTGTCATACAACCCGTAGCCACTGATTTCAGCCAACTCTTCTTTCTAGATTTGGTTCCATAGCTTTTGTCCATCCAGGAACAAACTACAAAGCAGCAGTTGCTTAATGTATGAATTTTCTCTCATAGATGGATTGTAGTCGCTGGCTACCAATTCTCATCTACGGGTTCGAACGCGGAAATTTTTTGTATAAATAACAAGAACTATTTGTTTTTATGATATTTTTTTCACGTGCCTTTTCATTCTATTTGTAAACATTTGGCAATAATGGAAATCACAGTCTTTATAGATTTTTTCGTCAACCATAATACAAAATATTTTCTTATTGTACTATTCTCGCCGTCCCATATTTTATAAATAATATAATGACCATTGTTGAAGCTACATTTGACTATTTTCTTGATCTTCTTGTTTCGTAATATTGAATGGGGTTTCTTTCAACACATGTACGTAGTATTTTGTCAACATGCTATGCGCCATACTACACGTTGACTCCGATGTTAGCATGATTTTCTTTCATGATTTGCTTCCATAGCCTTAAATGTTTCTTCAAGACTTTTTTCTCGGGAGGGGGTGGGGCGAAAGTAGTAAAAGTGTATGTTTACTATATAAATTGCATCTCGTGGCCGAGCACCCCCCCCCCCCCCCACAAAGAAAGTCTACCATCCCCCCCTCCCCCCACGATTGCCTTTGTCTATAATAGGACCCACAAAAAAAAATATGTGGTTATTTAACTGGAACCTTAAATACCCGAGGTTTGAACTCAGGATAATGTTATCGGTTTAGCTAGGCCTATTTGTTTTTTATTATATTTTATCATGCGCCTTTTCTTTTTATTTGTAAACATTTGACAATAACGGAAATCATAGTTTTATTTATTTATTTATTTCTTCAACCAAAAAAAAACAAAATACTTCTCACTAGACTATTCTAGTGAGTTATCCGAATGAGTAGGAAAGCCCAACGTTTCCTCCAAATCCACTGTTAGGGTTCCAGGTTAACGTGCCATCGGCTTTAAATTTTCCATTTTCGTATATCACATTCCCGCTGATTGTTTTAGAGTTGAAGTCGTAGTTACCTCCGGTTGTCCACTTTCCTGAAATTGTTGACATTAACCGTCAACATAGTACGTTAACTTACTTTAAATTTATCATTCTGTAGTTCATAGACGAATGAGCCTATTGGTCATAATGCTTAAATAAGTAAAAATTAGAAAGAAACGTGGAAAAATACTAGTATTTATCTACATTGGCCTACATTACAAATTAAAATTGAATTTGTTATTATGTGTCGATACTATGAGTTTACAATTTGTTTTTGAATAAAAAATGATTCACTAACACAATAACTCACCTTGTCTTTTATAATTTAACACCTGAAATCACAATACGAAAAACTGAATTATTATAATATAACTGCACAAACACGCCTTCCAACTATCCACCAGTTCTATATACTAAACTCTACGCCTTTGAAACACCACCACCAATCAGTATGTCAATACGTACCATCAACGCCTACCACTCCACTTACACCTTTCATACAAACACTCACTTCCTCCTGAACAATCACACACACACCACACAATCTCTTAGAATACATTCCATCCCATCACTCTCACACACTCTCACCCCACACACCCTTGATATCTAACACACCGACACTGTTTTCTGATATTATAGAACCACCCGCTCACCATACGTACACCCAACATCCTCCAAACAATAAAGCCTGTGGCATCGTTTTTTACGACAATACGTTTAACACTGTATAAAGTTAATCATCCACTGTCATAACTACTTACCCGTCTCTCTATGTGTTGCAGTGTAATCAAGTCAACTGTAAAATAAATCAACAATTCAACTATTTTTTAAAGCATTTTTAATCATCAAAAAATGTATAACTGAATGAAATTATCTGCGTTGTGCATCTCTTTACTTACAAAACATAAATCGAGATGTATTACACGCTCTAAATAATTTATTGTTCCGGGTGGTCCATTTTCACACACAAACACACATACACACACACGCACACACACGCACGCACACACAAAGAGATACACACGCGCACACACACACACAGACACACCCACGCACTTTAAAAAACACTCAGTCACACACACGCACACGCACACACACAGAAACACACACGCAAATACAATCGCACACACGCACACACTAACAACATTCCTGTTGATTTCATGACCTCAGCATAAAAAAGAGGATTTAATTCGTTTTACATAACATGTATGTGCATGTGACGCCAATCTCACAGCCACACACACGCACACACACACACGCGCGCGAGCACACTTACACATACACACATGCACACAAAAACAAACAACATTCTTGTTGTTTTTCATAACCTCGTCATAAAAAAATAGAGGATTTGATTCGTTACACATAACATGTATGTGCTTCTCACACACACACACACACTCTTACGTGCACACACATTCACAAACGTACACCACGCAAACACACACACACACACACACAAATAAACAACATTCCTGTTGTTTTCATGACCTCATGATTAAAAAAAAATAGGATACAACTCGTAACACATAACATGTTTGGGCTTCTGACGACATTCTGAGAGCAGCAGGATATAGCTACAAACAAGTCATGATATCCTCCCTTACTGTATTACATTACAAACTTCGGATACACTGCTCATGCCTATTTCTTCCTAGCCAATACGATTTTAAGCTCAAATACAGAACTTCAGAATAATTAGACGCAAGTAAAACTTCTATTAGCGTATTCAGATAAGAGGCAACAATCAGTAAAATATTCCTAGACACTCGATCTATTGATTGACACCAGACGAAGTATGCTACAAAATGACCTGATAATGTGGGCCGTTACCTGCGTGTTGCAATGTCAAGGGGAGAACACCCGCTATTTTTTCTACTGCAGCTATGTAGCGGTTGTAGTCGCTATCTGTTGATCCAAGTTATGGTAAATAGGAAATTTTTAATGTACTCTCTTATATATATATATATACACTACTTTAATTTTTCAATTGAATTTCAAAACCATTTTCTTAAAAAAAAAACTGAAACTGGGATATTTAATTTTCTATAGATGAAACCAACCAATGTTACCTTATTTTTTAACTGAAGCAAATCTTTTTTCGACAATTCTAAAACCTGGACCCCTAAAACCTATATAAACCTAGTTTTATTTTATTTACAATCGATATCTTTCCAAAGTGAAATAGTTTTTATAGTTCTTATAGTATTTAAACTTAGCCACTGTATATACCTTTTAAAAATATTAACCTTTAATCAACGTTATTTAAAAAATTCACTTTAAAATACCTTTTACTTCTGCAGCTTTTTCCACGAGTGCCCTCAGCATTAGCATACAGTTCACTGTTCTTCTGGATTCATACTCTATAGGGCCTACGATGTGATAATAAATGTACTAATACTGACAAAGATTGAATTGGCATTTTGTTTTGGGGGGGGGGGGGGTATTGTGAACACACGGACAAGCCTTTCGGGTGATCCGATGCGTAGCACAACATACAAGACAAACAACCACAAACTGGTTACAAAACAAGACTGAATGAAAACAAAGGCTCGTTGAAACTAAAAGAATCAGTGTTTCTTCCAGGCATCTCTTCCGGGCGATCACCTACCGCCCCCCCCCCCCCCCCCCGAACGAAATGAAATTTTTATAGTTTATATAGAAAATATATACTTTTAACAGTGTCCGCCCCCCCCCCCCCCCCCGAAAATTTCAAGTGCCCCCCCCCCCCCCCGGAGAAAAAAAGTCTGGAAGAAACACTGAAAAGAATTCAATAGTATCTACACTATCTACACCTAACACAGTCTATTCTAAACACAAAATACACAAGCTAGTAAAACTATGATACATTGGCTAAAAACGAGTATAAACCTAACCTATACTAACCTTGGAGATCTGGACAAAACTGAGGCAATCACACACGTTTTCATACACCTTATATACCCTTTCAAAAACTGGTACAAAAAGGACTATTACAACTCACAGCACGAGAACTGAACAAGGACGAACGGGATAGTGTACCAAGTAACAACAACATTCACCCCCATTTATACCCTTCTCTCGTTCACTACAGGGGGTTTCTGTTTAATAAGGGATTTGTATAACCTGTGTTTTAGAGGGGTTTAGGGATTTTACAAACATGTTTTGTTCTAGTAGTAATGTCTATTGTAGGATCAATATGAGGGCTATATTATAACTAAACAACTACAAACTATGCTAAATGATGAGTAAATAAAGTAAAGTAAAGTTTCCCTTTCAAACCTGACGGTCTATGTAGCAAGTGAAGTAGAGTTCACTTGTTTCTGTGACCTCGGCATATAAAGAGATAGTGTGGTCAGCACTATGCACAGCCGCCTTTACTTTCCCTAACGTGAGTTGTGTGGCCTCAGGGACGGCCTACTGACGTAAACCCGGATTCGAACTCGAGACTTACGGGTTAGAAGTCCTGCTAAATGATGAGTACATGAGTGATTTTGTGTTTACCTTCAAATATGGCAGTAACAATACCGCTGTCATTAACACCTGCAGACACTTCCTGTAGAGCTTCTATGATGTCGGCATCGGGAACTGGAGAATTTTGATTAGATATTTCAAGTAGATTGCGTTCTTTTGATGATTTTTAATACATTTTTTTTTTATATTTAAAAACTCACCATTAATGCCATTTTCGTCTAAGTAGTTTTTAGCTTTCGCCTGAAGGTTTTGGACTTTATTCTCAAACACATCAACAGCGATTCCTGTATGGATTGGAGCAATAATTCATAAAATAATGTAGATAAAAGATCTCTTACAAAATAATAAATTGTAAATACGCTTGACGCTTTGAACTGTTTCATACACGAAATAAGGGTCAAATATTACGTTATTGAACTACATCCTACACAGTATCAGTGTAAAATTATTGTGTTTCGTTTATCATGTTATGCTAAACAAATTCTTCTTCTTCTTCTTTTTCTGCATTCATAATTTAGTTTATGGTGGAGGATTTAAACAAGTCCAACTTCATGTATGAACTGGACTGTGGTCTCCAGATCCGCGCGTGCCTCATATAGTTTATCCATGAGTGGGGTGTATAAGGGCCAGTGTTTGGATCGCGCCTGGTTATATAAGGAACAGTCTTGAAGGACGAGTTCTGTATTCTCCGGGGCCATGCCACATGGGCAAGTTTCGCCATACCCAACTTTTAGTGTTTAGTTTTTTTGTTGTTTTTTTTAATGCATGTGCATAATCAACAAGGGGGCATAGTACTGACCACACAATCTCTTCATACGACGAGGTCACAGAAACAAGTAAACTTGCCCTAAAGACCGTAGGTTTGAAAAGGGAACTTTACGTATACTCAACAAGCAAACGTACCCTGTTGAAGCAGGTTATATAACTCATCCACGTTCTCTGTGAGCTCATCGATAATTGATTTACCATCAGGTGAGTTCAAGGTATCTCGGCTTACAACGTACTTTCCAAAACCTCCACTTCCTCCTGCATAGCTATGTTCGTCCTATTGAAATTATATATATATATATATATATATATATATATATATATGCGTGTGTATTAAAACGATATGTAAACATATAGGCCTATATAGATATACAATTGCAAGAATAAAATAAACCGGGAGTGATCTCCCCTAAACTTTCTCGAATATTCTAATATATCTCGGAATATAGACATGATTTTTAATTACTTAAACTTTTAAAAATAGAATAGAATCTCGTAGAAAAAAGAATTGCGCACCAAGCGAACGCCAAAACAAAATGTGCATAATAATGCGCAATATTATTAGTATTAATTACTTAAACTTTTAAAAATAGAATAGAATCTCGTAGAAAAAAAGAATTGCGCACCAAGCGAACGCCAAAACAAAATGTGCATAATAATGCGCAATATTATTAGTACTTTTGTACTTTCTCGGTTATCGGAAATAGCTCAAAAGTTGATCATTATCTAAGATTTTGATAAAATACTTATATATAAAATTTCATCAACCTAGCTGTAACGGTACTCAAGTTATCGTGTTTACACACAGACAGACAGACACACAGACAGACACACAGACATACGGACAAGATTGCAAAATTATGTTTTTCCGTATCAGTGAGGTGTAAAACGTCGAGGTTTGTAAAAATCTGGATTTTTTTTTTGCACGATTACAAGACTTTCTCTATACTTCGTATATACGAGAAAGTAAAAATACAATAAGGCTGCAATATATTATACAAACAATACTTAACAAATTAATACACCAAAAATGAGAGCTGTAAAAACGTACCCAGTAAACGGCATTAGCTACCACAATGCAGTAAGACAGCAATAACCAGATCGCCATGATGAAACAGATTTAATTATTTCCTCTATAGATAAACCACAGAGCTTATCAATTACTGTCTGCAGCGAGACTACTTATATACACTGTAGGTGAGAATATCAATTCGTCCATGGCGCTAAAGTCATTAGGTCCTGCGGTTTCGTGTTCTGATAGATTTCGGCATGAACATATTTTCAGGCCAAGCATTCTGTTCGACAGATGTTGTTGTTTTGATATTACGAGCCGGAACTAGAAAAATGTTTTGACAATAACAACAGAAGAAATGTACTACACATATCTGGTTCAGCTGTTATGAATTAATAGTTTCATAACTATTTAATATATGGTCGTATGCTAGAGCTGTCGACTGCTAACCCTAAATGTCTGAGTTTGAATCCTTGGCACAAGATGTCCAACCAGGTATTGTAAACACCTGACCCACGTCACCTGACTCGAGGTCAATTAAACAGATGAACTCTACTTTATCCAGTGTTTCAGGGCATGAAAGAATAAAATCAGTTGATAGATAAATAAATGCATCTCACAAAAATTGAGTAGTATTCTAATAATTTTTTTTTTTTTAAATTATGTTTTCCCAGTCTTGTCTATTACTTGAAGCTGTCGATCTCCTTTCTTCTTCTTTTTCGTTCTTAATTTTAGTGTTGGAAAGGATCCTCTCCAACACAATTAAGCATAGGTGTCAACTGGTTATACGCAATAGAAGCCATTGACTCCGATTTCAGCCTGCTTTTTTTTTTGGATTTGCTTCCATTGCCTTTGTCCAACTAAGAACAAACTGCAAGGCAGCAGTTGTTTGATTTTGTAGTTGTCTCTCCTTGAAAAGAGTGACTGTCCCACCTAACGAGCCTCATCTGCCCGAGGGTTCGAACTCGAGACTTTACCGACTCGACCATGCTGACTCCCCTCAGCTGTCGACCATTACTTACTTACGTGTTAAGTGTTTGAACTGACTGTGAAGGTGAGATACAATCTAACCGTCCCCATCAATTCAAATCTGCATGTTAGTCTGCTCCCACTCCAACTTTTACAGGTATTAAAACCATTACGCCAGAATCAAATTACAATTGATTCGTACAAGCGTGAATATCACACATGTGGCGTTCGAACTTAGTGTATCATTTTACTTTACTTTTACCTTCAGTTTGAGAACATGTAGCGATAGTTGTATTATATTAAAGCGAATCTACATAACACTTGATTTTTTTTTATAAACTGAATTATTGATTCATGTAAGTTGATTTAGAATCAAATGTATTTATTCCAGAGATTCTTTGGGTATGAAGGTTGGGATCGGCAATTAAGTTGAGTATCAATATGTTTTGACGTAAAAAATTTTCCTTTTGGTGACAGTTCTTGGATCAACTTTAGTCCACTGTTATCAGTTATGTTCAACTTTAGAGCTTGTCTCAATGTTTCAGTGTGCAATCAAGCTGTTATTGAATATATAACCCACATGAAGACGTCTTTGTCATTACATTACTAGAAAAACAATTCTCTTCGATCTTGATTGTGTTCATTTACAGTTGAGATCGTCTCACGCTTAGGCAAGCTTAACAAATTTGTTAGTAAACTGCCAAGCATGATTTTCAGTATAATTGTCAATTATTATTTTTATGTGTAGGTATAAAACTATCAATAAGGCCTAAATAATAAAAAACTAAATAAATTATAAAAAAACAAAAGTTTATTGTAATATGTAAAAACTAGCAATTTCAAACGAAATAACGAATTGTTTTCGTTATTTAAGCTTTCTTTGTAATAAAGATATTCTTTGATAAGATATTTTGTCTGCGATATATTTTGTCTGCAATATTTTGACCTTGGGATATTTTGTCCTGAAATATTTTGTCCACAACATTGTGTCTAGAAATATTTTGCCTTTGACTTCTTCTTATGGATACTTTTTATTATTTCATTTGTCGTGATGGTTTCATTGGTTACATTTTGTTCCTATGGGGAGGGGTGGGGGCAGACAAGTCGCCCGGGTAGGGATAGTGGGGGCAGCGAAAATGCTGGAAAGAGGGGTGTATGTGTTCCTGAAAGAAACTTCGTCATTTCACGCGAAGAAAAAATTTTAAACAAATACAATGAATCTTGTCTTGTTTCCTAAAAACACACACTCTAAACAGTTTCAATATATATATATATATATATATATATATATATATATATATATATATATATATATATATATATATATATATATATATATATATATATATATATATATATATATATATATATATATATATAGTTTTGTTTACAGTGAAAAAAACATAAATAAGTGTCCACATATTTTTCTCAGTGTTGAATACACCGTCGTAGAACAATAATCTATAAGTCCATTTCACAAAGAAAACGTTTCTCAATTTCGCACCCATCATCGTTAACTCCTTCCCTCAAGTTGTCGTAAAATACGCAGTCCTGGTTTAAGTAGTTATTTGGTTGTCCTGTTAATGGAAAGAAATGGTAAAATTTTATTAGCTATACATTACTTTTTGAGGTTTAATCAAACTTTTTTTTTAACACCATCACGAGTTCGCATTTTACCCACTTCTAGAGGACGGTTTTGTCTCAAACAAGGCAAGTAGGTCAAAACCAGTCAACAATGCAATGTGACATAGATCTACAATTAGACACAATCAGTTTTTAATTTATTTTTGAAAAAATAATTTATAAATAAAATAAAGCTGTGATTTTTTTTTCGAACCTTCAGCGAATGTGAAATTTAGCCAGTCAGACGTCAAGAAAGAACCGTCGTCTGCCCAAACATAGACTCCTTCACGAACGATATCGTCCAGTCCAACCCAGATCGCCGTCTTCGCGTCTGTTACGATCTGGCGTAGGATTGAAAATTTTTCCTGGCTTTTGAACGTGTACAGATGTGCGCCCATTGCTGGTGAAAGTATTAAAATAAAACAAATAATGGAATTTTTGTTATCTGATGGGTACTTGAATTTTTCGGAGGGAGTGGGTGAGGGCGCAGTTAAATTTCCTTGTGAAGGGGGTTGTTGGGGTATGGGGCGGACTGGTTAATTTATATATATATATATATATATATATATATATATATATATATATATATATATATATATATATATATATATATATATATATGTACGTTCATAGATATATGTGTATATATATATATATATATATATATATATATATATATATATATATACTTTCATATATATATAATGTATATTTATATATATATATAAAGAGAGAGAGAGACATTGACATAGATATGGATATGGATATATACATAGATATAGACATAGACATAGATATAGATATGTACAATATAAATTATTTTTTTATTACGGGGCGGAGAACTGTGGACGTGCTTTGGGGTGAAGGGGATGGCAGGAAATACTACTATTTGTATAACATAATGCAAATACAGATCTTCATCTAAGAGAAGTTTTGAATAATTCAATAATTTATTTGAATAATTAGTATTGCTACAATTCAATATTGATCACAGTCAAAGACTTAACATGCGTAAGAAATTTTAATATACTAGTTACATGATTATTAAAAAGGCCTACATCGTCATCTACTTCACCTGCACAAGACAGCCTGGCGTCTGTGAAGTTAGAAACGTTGGGTGATAACATAACGCAGGCGGCGACACTTCCATTTGCCTGTAAGCCGAAGCCTGGAGTCTCCCCACAAGTTGCACCGGTAGAGAAATACTCGGCACCCGCTATGGTGTTGGGTGAGGGATTCGTCAGTACCCACGAGCCTGAGAGTTTTATGCAATTAGAAAAGTGGACATGATTTAATTTAAGCGAAATTTGCAATAAAGCTTATTTCTACATTTTTGTGGGAGTCTAAAGCTATCGGTTTTTAAATAAATAATAGCTTATGTAGATATTTCGGTTATGCCCGGAAAAAAGAAGATGTCAACATGGCGAGGCAAGCTTTTGACTGGAACCCCCCAGGGACTATACAAGTGAGTCGGTAGAAATAACCCTGGAAGACTGTGATAAGAGAAACAAGGTCTTTGGGTTTTCATGGGCTCAACTAAAGTACAGTCAGATCAAGGTACGCAGCAGTAATCCGTTATCTCCAGAGGCTTCATAGAATTAAATCAAATGTCTTACAAACGTTCAGAACTAAAGACAATACATCAAATAATGTTAAATAAGGTATAGCCTATTAAAGCAAAATGTTTTTTTTTCCTGGTGTGCGGGAGAGAAGCTACGAAAAATGTATAGCCTTACGCCCGTTGTCTTTATTAGTAAACGGGTAAAAACAGCAAGTGTGTAGTAACTTACCTAAATAGCAGGTTTGGGATGATGCGTGGTAGATGAAGCTGGCACATGAGCTCAGTATTTCAAGACATTTATAGACGCACATACTGAGTGAATCAATGGCGTCATTCGTTGCAACATGAGACATTTCAAATGATGGAGAATTCTCGAAGAAACGGCTCTGTAGTTGTGAGCTGATGACCAGGTCTAGTTGCAAAAAGAGAAAAGATTTTTTTTAGCTAAAAAATGCGCATTATTATAATTTTACGGGTGTTTTTTTTAATAACAATTACATGAAGTTTGTAATGCTTTTTACCAAAAAAGACCAACCGCATTATTTAAATATTTTTTTTTCAATATAAAATTCATGTAGTAGTCTAATCTTCTTTATTTTACCGAATCGTTGGTGAAGCTTTTTACCAAAAAAGTCCAACAATTTTGTGTTTATTATAATTTTGATAGTCATTTAAAAAATGAAATTTTGTACTAATCTTTTATATGCATTATACAATGATAGGGACCATATTATAACCAGTGTTTTTTCCAGACTTTTTTCTCCGGGGGTGCCCCCCCCCCCCTCCCCTCGAAGGAAGAAACTCTTATTATAACAATAGAGATCGGGCGTCACTAGATAATCCAAAAATATTCAGTTCGTTTTACTGACTTGAGTTTGTCGGACATCTAGTGTTTTTGTCCACTTTATAGGGTATAAACGAGAAATTCAAATTTGAAACGATCATTTCCTATAGCATCTACGACCAAACTTTTTTTTTACATCAAGATCAAAAGTATTTTGTTTTACCCAATCAACAACTTGACTCACCACTGA